AGAAATGCTGAGAAATTGTGAAGGTGTGCCAAAACTCGAGTTTTATGCCCTCTATTTATAGGGCTGAAGATCCTCGTACGCGGCGCGTACTTCCGGAGTACGCGGGGCGTAGTCAGTACGCGGGGCGTACTTCGGTTACGCGGGCGTAATAATGCGTCATGGCTTACGACTCCTGGCTAACTAGGCGTAGCTTGGGCGGGCCGATGGGACTCGACTCTGGGTCTAGTACGCGGGGCGTACTCCCAGAGTACGCGGGGCGTAATCCCTGCTTCCAACTTCTAAATTCCGTAACTTTCGCGTACGAGCTCCGTTTTTCGCGTTCTTTATATCCACGCGTAGGTGAGATTATGCTCTACAACTTTCATTTAGACTCCGTCGGCTAGTTTTGACTTTATTTTTAATGATATAATTTTAATAGGCCGGGCCTCCTAAAGTTCGTTAAAATTTCATAGGTTCTTTATTCGACGTCGGTTTTCGTTTGTCTTTTGATTGTTTTATTACCACCGAGGAGATCTTCAACTTCCGTTTAGGTGGCGATAGCTAAATAACACTCGATCTTTAATCCGAGTTTTTAGCCCTCTACTACTGTTACGAAACTTTGAAAATTCGTAACTTCTTCATACGAGGTCCAATTTGGGCGATCTTTTTATGCACGCTCATCTTTCAACGAGATCTACGACTTTTGTTTAGATACTTTAAGGCTAAAATGTATTTTATTGAGATTCCACTTTTTACGTCAAATTATGTTTTAACGTCGTGTCGTAATTATACGAGTGGTTATAATTTCTTCAATATAACTCGGTTTTGAGTGTTCTTTATGTTTTTGGAAACCTGGGCATGATATCTAATATTCGATGCATCCCAACTTAGATACCTGAACACTTTATTTTCGAGGTTAATTTCGTTGTTTTTAGCTTTCGAGTGTTTACAATGCTTTTGGGAAAAATAGGGTTGTCACATCATCCCCCTGTTAAGGGAATTTCGTCCCGAAATTTAATCTAAGATAGATATTACAAATTAGGAAAAAGATGCGGGTACTTTTGTTTCATTTGATCCTCTCGTTCCCAGGTGTATTCAGGTCCTCGCTTGGCGTTCCAGCGGACCTTTACGATAGGTATGCGGCTTTGTTTAGTCCTTTTGACTTCCCGATCCATGATCTCTACTGGTTCCTCTACAAATTGAGGTTTTCGTTTATTGCAATTTCGTCTAGAGGGACGACAAGGGTCTCGTCGGATAAGCATTTCTTTAGGTTTGATACGTGAAAGGTAGGGTGTACGTTGTGGAGTTCCTGAGGTAGTCTAAGTTTGTAAGCCACTGGACCGATCCTGGCAAGGATCTCGAATGGTCCGATGTATCTGGGGTTCAGTTTCCCACGTTTTCCGAAGCGTATCAATCCTTTCCAAGGCGAGACTTTTAGTAGGACACGGTCTCCAACTTGGAATTCCAAGGGTTTTCGTCTCTTATCTGCATAACTCTTTTGTCTATCCCTTGATGCCTTTAGACGTTCTCGGATTTGAACAATCTTCTCCGTAGTTTCCCGTATGATTTCTGGCCCAGTAAGTGTGTTGTCAGTTGCTTGTCCTTTTGCTAGTTGGGTGTCTCCCACTTCGGCCCAGCATAAAGGTGACCTGCACTTGCGGCCATAGAGGGCTTCGAACGGGGCAGCTTTGATACTGGTGTGGTAGCTATTGTTGTACGAGAACTCGACCAAGGGTAGATGCGTGTCCCATGCTTTGCCAAAATCGATTACGCAGGCTCTCAGCATGTCTTCTAGGGTTTGTATGGTTCTCTCGCTCTGGCCGTCGGTTTGAGGGTGATAGGCGGTACTCATGTCTAGTCTTGTCCCCAAAGCTTTTTGTAGCGACTGCCAGAATCTTGAGGTGAATCTACTATCTCGGTCCGAGATAATGGATACGGGCACACCGTGCAGTCGTACAATTTCCCTGAGGTATGTCCTTGTTAACTTCTCCAATTTATCCGTCTCTTTGATCGGTAGGAAATGCGCTGATTTAGTTAACCTGTCGACAATTACCCAAATGGTGTCGAGTCCGTTTGTCGTTTTGGGTAACTTGGTTATGAAATCCATAGTTATCCGCTCCCACTTCCATTCGGGTATTTCTGGTTGTTGTAATAAACCTGAAGGCTTTTGGTATTCTATTTTGACCTTAGCGCACGTCAGACATTTACTCACGTAGGTAGCAATTTCGGCTTTCATGTTCGGCCACCAGTACAACTTCTTGAGGTCGAGATACATCTTGTCGGAGCCGGGATGTATGGAGTATCGTGTTTTATGGGCTTCGTCCATGACGATTTCTCTGAATCCACCAAACTTTGGTGTCCATATTCGATCCATGAAATAACGAACTCCGTCGTTCTTGGTTTCAAGATTCTTATCCATTCCCCTTAGGGTTTCTCCTGCCACATTTTCAGATTTCAAGGCTTCTATTTGGGCTTCCTTGATTTGCGTGGACAGGTGGGAATGGATCGTCATAGTTAGGGACTTCACTCGGCGACCTGAGTATTCCTTCCGACTGAGTGCATCAGCCACTACATTAGCCTTTCCGGGGTGATATCGAATTTCGCATTCGTAATCACTTAGTAGCTCTACCCACCGTCTTTGTCTCATGTTGAGTTCTTTCTGGTTGAGGATATGTTGAAGGCTTTTATGGTCAGTGAAGATCGTGCATTTTGTGCCGTAGAGGTAGTGTCTCCATATCTTTAGAGCGAAGACGACTGCTCCTAGCTCAAGATCGTGCGTTGTGTAGTTCACTTCATGCGTCTTTAGTTGTCTTGAGGCATAGGCGATGACCTTCCCTCGTTGCATCAGGACACACCCGAGTCCTTGGTTTGATGCATCACAATAGACCACGAAGTCCTCCGTCCCTTCTGGCAGGGTTAGGATGGGCGCACTACATAATGCTCGTTTTAGCGTTTGAAATGCGGCATCTTGTTTTTCTCCCCAGTCGAAGGTCACATTTTTCTGAGTTAGTGTGGTGAGTGGCTTGGCAATCTTGGAAAAATTCTGTATGAACCTTCGGTAATACCCGGCGAGTCCTAAAAATTGTCGGATCTCTGTAGGGGTTCTTGGAATCGTCCAATTCTCTATTGCCTTGATCTTCGAGGGATCCACGTGTATTCCTTCCTTGCTTACTACGTGTCCTAGAAAATCCACCTCTCGAATCCAAAATTCGCACTTGGAAAATTTTGCGTAAAGTTTCTCTGCCCTTAATGTTTCCAGAACCTGGCGGAGATGTTGGCTGTGTTCTTCCTGGTTTCTAGAATAGA